AGGACATAAATGAACACATTTAAAGAGTAGTGTCAGATGCTATATGAACTATATAAAGAAGAGATTAATTTTGCCAATCTCTCTACAATCTATTAGAGTACTTCAATAGTAGTTCATGTTTTGCAGAGAGATCTATTGTTTCTTTCACTAATCCTTAGGTACTCCATCCTATCTTTGAAATTTCTGGCCTATAAACAAACTATTTGTTCAACCAAGTCATTTCTTTATCTTTTTGGAGTCATAATAATGTTCATGTACTGTTAACTTATGGTCATGTGGCTGAGGTTTTGGCTAAATAATTGTGAACAAAAGATCTATGTGAACAATGGCAACGGGTTTTTGATTCTACTGGACCTATTGGTTTCGAGGGAGCCTAGGCAGTTTCGTGGATGCTCACCTTACTAGACCTGGATGGAGGTTGGTGGTCCTTGGACTTCCCACAGGGCAGAGAACCTTGATTGCTTTTTGGGCTGACGAAGGAGGGGGACTTGGTTGGGGGAGGGGGAGGGAAAGGGGAGGCGGCGGTGGGGAAGAGACAGAAATCTTTAATAAATAAATAAATAAATTAAAAAAATACAAATAAAAAAAAAGATCTATGTGCTCTATTTACTCTTTATCTCTGTAACACTTCCATGGAATTCTCTATCAGTTCCTATTTCCCAGCTGCCTGCTAGGCATCTACACTTAGATGACCACATAAGATAAAACCCAAGATTGTTCATAGTCCTTGGTCCTTGAAAGGCTATGTGGAGTGAATATCTCTTTGCCAGTAACAACAGAACTGAACTGAGTGGAAACCTGAATGGCACTAGGCCTTGGAGATTCAAGGGTCTTTTTATTGACAGTAACAATATCTTCGACAATTGAAATAAAAAATGGCCTAACTTTGGATACATAGTTCTCATTTACCATACAAATACCTAAATACCTAATTATTTATAAATTCCCATCAGATTCTTAATCACTGTGGCTTCTGGGTATATGTAAAGGGGTAGGGAGACATCATAAAAGATAATCCATACTTACAAATCTGTTGTTTTATGACAAATATCTCTTATGGACACTTGTTGTTCTCAAATCTGAGCTCATTTGGTATTTCTACAAGAATAGTTTGGTTTATTTTTTAATTCAGTAATTAAGATGGACTAAATAGCTTCCTTCTTCCATGTTTATTTTCTAATGTATTTAATGAGGAAGTACTTTTAATTCTATATTTTTAATATGCCTCACATCATCTCTCCATTGCTTTCCATCTCCACTCCCTTTATCATAGAACAGACCTTTATTACTTATCTGGATTAATGTCCTGGCCTTGTGACTCCTTAGCCTCTTCCAAACTCTTCTGTCTTTCTGCCAGAATAATCTTTTCGAATCTCTCTTCTGATTATATCATTCCTCTATTCGGAAACCTTTAACAATGCCTCACTGCTGGCCAGAAATGTTCCATCTTCCCTGCAAAGCATACACGAGGCTCCTGCCTTGATTCCAACCCAGCTCTCCAGTCTCAGCCCTCACCGGTCTTTACATACCCTGTATTCCAGCCAAGCTGGATTGCTTGCCATTCCCCAAGGTGCACTAGCTTCTCCATCCTTGCCGTTTGACTGCTTTACTGGATTTCTCTCACTTTATAATTTCCCCAATACTCATTGCTGCCTAAGAAATCCCTGTATCCTCCGAGGTCAGGTCAAATACCTTCATAAAATCTTTTTTTTTTTTTTGTTCTCTTTTGAGAAACAATTCAAGACCATTGTGCATGCTCCTTTCTAGGGCTCATGACAGTTATTACGATGTGTAGAAGTAATGAATTATAGCGAATTTGCTGTCAGATAATATAGGTTGGAGTCTGAATTCTGCCCTTTATTGTTTTGGTGAGATTTTGGTGCAAATTATTGAGCCTCTCTTAGTCTCATTGTTCCCTTGCATTGAATAAGAGTGAACAGTTTGCATAACTCAGAGGGCTACTTTAAATATTAAATGAGAAAAAAATGCATATAAAAATTTTACAATATCATATTAGCTTATATATTTCATATGATTTACATATGAATCCCTTGTAATTAGAAAACATATTTTATTCATTTTTGTTTATGTGTCCTTCAAAATGTTTTATGTAGGGTTTTGTATATAGCATATACTAAAAACATTTGTTGGATTACTAAATATTTTAAGATATAATTAACATTGAGATGAAAATGCCAATACCTGTCTCCCACCTAGATCCCACACAAGCATTGATCTTGTCAGTACAGATTTTGCTTCCTGGTACTTCTCTTCTTGGTACATTTTTATTCTTCAGTCTCCACATTGAGAAAGCAAGCCCTTTGTTTGTGTTCATGTTCTATTCCCTTCAGTGTTCCATCCAGTTCCACTAAGATTTCTGTCAATTTTATCTTACACATTTTGATGAACAAAACCGTTTACTTGAGTATGGAATTCTCCATGAAATTCTAGAAGCTCCATATAACATGTTATAGTTCCGTACCTTAGAGACTTTCATTTTTTCATTGTTTTATCTTGAAGTTAATGTGTGCACATGCTCACACTTGTACTCAAGTTGAAGAATAAGATTTTTTTGTTTTGAAAACCTGAATTTCTTGTGAATGAAGAGCCTTATTTTTGCCTTGAAGCCTTGATACGTACAAATAAACAGAGTGAAGGGTTTGGGTTAAGGATTGTAGTAGGAAAAAGAGCTCATTGTTGCTTTCTGTGATTGTGCCCATGAGGATACTAAGATACTCAAGACTCCATCTTTGGCCTGTAGGGAGGGTGAGAGGTGCATTGCTCTCCCAGAGGGTTGTTCCCAGGCAGGGTAGCATTAATGAGTGACACAATCTCTTTCTTGGAAGAGTCTGGCTGAATGTTGTGCCATTTTCCGAAAGTTTGGGTGACGTATCAGATGACAGTATGTTTGGAAAAATTTTCTATGTGGAAAAGTTCCTAATCCCTTGCCAGAAGAGAATCAGGGGACAAAGGGAAGTCTAATGCCTAATGTTTATGCTTCTGTGCATTCTGGGACTGTGTGCCTGGAACTCTTAAAGGCAAGTTGGTCTGATTCCATAGGAACTGCATGCATTTAGACAGAATCAGACAGTCTAGACATTTCTTATGAAGAGTGCTCCATCTTGCTGCAATTGAGAGGATTCGTGAGAATGAGAATAAAGATGCAAAGAAGAGGATTGTCAGGGTCAATGAAAGAAGCTATGGGGAATTCAGACAAAGAGGGAGCACGGTTGTTTACACAATACTCTTGAAAATGGTATTGTCAATGAGCACCCAAGCTGATAGAAATTAGTTTGTAGATGCAGATTCTATTGTTGTCCACACTGATGAAGAAGGTGATGGTAGACTGGGCAATTAAAGGTAGACAAAATATCTGTCTCTATCTCTTTGTCTCTCGGTCACACACATTTGTTCATCCTCTTTTCATTTCCCGGAGGAAGCACTGCTCCTCTCTATCTTGTCTTCCTGAAGCTACAGTGCTGCCTCTCGTACACTTTACACTCTCTGCTGGAATCCAAGATTGTCTAGTGCCGTCTCTCTTGATCTCACACACTCTGATGTCCTCATTGCTTTTGTTGGAAACCATATTTACTGACCCTAAAGCAAACAGATTTCTGGCTGATTGAAGAGGGATAACCTCAACTTTCTGTCTTCAAAAGGCCAAAGGAAATCAAGTGCGGTGATGCACACTTGAAATGATAGTACTTGAGAGACTGATGTAGGAGGATCATGAGTTCTAGGTCAGCCTGGGTTTTAAAAACAAAACAAAGTAAAACAAAACCAAACCAAGCCTCGTGTAGTTGGCCTGTAATCCCAAGCTACTTGGGAAACTGAGGCAGAAGATTGAGAAAACAAGGCTTCCCTGGGCTACAGGATTTCAAGGCCAAAAAAGTCTCAAGAAAGTTAGAAAGAGGGTTGAGGCTGTATCTTAAGGGTAGAATGCTGGCCTCCCAAGTGTGAGGTGCCAAGTTAAATCTCCAGTAACAAAAGGGGGGATAAAATCCTTTTATGTGTGCACACATGTGTGTGTTTCTCTGTGTGTGTGTTTGTGTGCAAAATGGAAGGCCAAATGAGGGCAAGTTGTTTAGCTTATTTTTTTGGTTAAACTAGTAGCATATGAATTATCGAAATGCTTATTATTATTATTTTTTTAAAAAGAAATCCACTGTCTGAGATTGCCCATCCCCAGCTGTACCCACAAGACACCATTATCTTATGTCATTATCCTTTTTCATGGCTTCTTTCAAGTGAGCTTTAAAACAATGGTCTAGAAGCAGTGGACAGCAGAGCCCAATAAGTCTTATCAGAGTTGTCAACAGAAAAATGTCAATGGTGCCGTCCTAAAATACATCTAACTGTTTGGATGTCTAGACAGGAGTACACTCAGAATTCTAAGCAGCTAAGACAGTGACCTGAGAATGGGGTCATAATTTGGGTGATAATGCTCATTTTAATGACTACGCCCCTAAAAGCACAACAAAGTTCTTTATACTAAATTTGCTTCTTTAATCCTGTAAGAGTCCGTGACCTCCTGCTCTGATCTGGAGAAGCTGTGTGCAAATGCCTCTTGGCCCTAGTGTGCCTACATGGTTAACTAGAAGCACACATGAGCTCAGCTCTTTGAATTGAAAACAGACCTGCGTGAAGAGCTATCTGTATTGTGTTCCAGTATCTCCACGTCCAACAAGTTATCAGCGGGTTGTGTGGAATGAAAAGGTCTTCCAGGCATCTGGGCTCATCTCTGCCTAGTGATTTAATTTGAGAGCCCAGATCGTAAATTGGACTTAATGTCAAACAGCAGCCAAGGCCGGGAACCCGCCTGGGTGTGCTGGGCGGCTGCAGGCCGACTACCCAGCAGGCATGCTGTCATGTCTAAGTCATTTGCTGTCAGGGCTCTGCTCCCCATGGGAGGTCCAGGTTTCGAGCATTTGCAACAGTCTAGACTGGAGGTGACAAACAGGTTGACCTTTGGGATGAGATTGATCTCTGTTTTGTGACAGGAGGCCTTTCCAGAAGAGTCTTGGGAGGAACAATTTAAAAACCTCATCATTTGCGAATGGAATTAAACCTGTGACTCTGCCCCACCCAGACTGGAATGCCAAAGAGATTTTCTCAAAGGAGCTAAAGGGTAATGTTTGTTTATTTCGTCAGTTTTCCTGAAATGTTCGCTTAGGGCTACAGGAGCCAGAGCAGGAGGAAGAGAAAGAGAAAAGACGGAAGAAAACGTACTTTAATGGCACTTCAACCTGAAGCCAACACGAGACTCTACAACTAGTGTATCTTTATCCAGCATTCCCTTTTCCCTTGCTCCGGCTGTCCTACATTCTCTTCTGTCCTCCCTCCTTCCCTTTCTTCCCCTCCTTTTCTTCTGTTCCTTTGGCGTGTTTTTTTTTTTTTTTTTTTTTTTTTGGGGTGTGTGGGGGGGGGGGGGGGGGTGTGTATTGAGATAGAGTCTTGCTATATAGTTCAAGTTGGCCTCAAACCAGTGGTTCTCCTGCCTCAGCCTCCCGAGTTCTGGGATTACTGGCATATGCCACCATGCCTGGTTTATTCTATTTGAATCTCATCTAAGGCTTACCTCCCCAGCCTCATGTTATATAGGAACAGTAGAGGCTCTCAATGATCAGTGCCTACCCCAGGCTGTGCAGCACATAATTGCTAAGCATTATTTATTTCATTATTAACATCAAAATCTTTTCTCAAGATTTATCTTTCTGCCAAGGTGAGGAAGATTTCATCTGTTCCTGCAGCTCTGGGTGTTACATTGTGTGGAAACAACTCAAAATGACCTTTTATTTTTCCCACAATTGTAGAGCTTCAAGTAAAGCTTCTATAGCTTTGGAAGGAGGTTCCTGGAAAAGAAGAGAAGTTGTGTTGTGAGAGAGATAAAGTCAGAGCTGATCTAGAATAATGTGTCCTAATGTGGATTCCACAGGTCCCTAGACATTCTTTGAACAAAGAAGGTTGTGGAACCTGACATAAAATAACCGTTTCGTGGAGTGTTGTGACTGGTTTCTCACTTCGCTGAGACACTGCCTCCGGCGCGATGATGAACGCCACATGGGGCTAGTTTTCTCTGGACCACAGTTTGGAGACACTTGTACAAGCTTTACTGGTTCTAATATTTTCCTGAATCTAGATTCACAAGTTTATTAGTTTTAGGAATGTGAATAGGGTCAGTTGTCGAAATTTTTAGTCTCCTATTCTGCCGTCAGGGGCGAGCTTAGCGCTCCACTCTGAAACTGCTCAGCGAGAACGGAGATGTGTTAAGTCTGTGTCGAGGCTGCAACACCGTCTTCCGAAACGCACAGCATGGCTTTCTTACACCCGTAGGCCCAGAACATTCACACAGAACGCCTTTGATAAAATGTCACTATTATGCTCAAAGATTGCACACTTAAAGGCCATTTACTTTTTTGGAAAAATGACCAAATTGCAATGTGTTTTTAATCCTTTTTTGCTTCCTGTCATTGACCTTCCTTTTTCTACCTTTCTTATCTCCTCCTAGTATCCTTTCACTCCACCGCTGACTGCAGCCACAGTTCACTACCAGCGCAGTTGGCCATGCTGGGAAGAGCTACACTAATGCCATGCACATAGCTCTAGATCCAAAGTCTTTAACTCACTCAAAACTGGGCTTCCCATGTGTGAGCCTGGCCATTCAAAAACAAGATTCCTATAAGGTTTGGGATTAATAAAACTTTCCCTGTTCAGAAATGAGTTTTATTCAGTATCTCATTCTATAGACTGTCAAATAAAATTAGGCCATTCCTTTAGTTATTTATTTTGGATTTGTTCATGTGTTTAATAGCACACTAGAGATGCTCTTTATTTGATTTAAAAATAATTATATTTATATAGAAAAAGCGGCTTCAAAGTTAGGGGGGATTATGTAAGCGTATAGCCTACTTTGCCTGCCTCAAGATGTTTATTGATTTATTTAGTGGTAATAAAACATTTCACATGGACTGCCTGTTTAACAGAGAATAATGTGTGCTCTGAGAATTCTCTCTAACTGTATCAGGAGGCTTAATTTTTATTTTATTTGTGCTGATAAACTGAAAACCCAGTCTCCTAAGTTTTCAATTCAATTCTTAAGACGAGTAAGTCCCTCTGAAGGGAATGAGAAACAGCTCTAGTTCTCCAGTGGGAAGCTTGAGAATACGCCACCCAGGCATTCAATGCAGCTCAGCCAGATGCTGGAGGATCCCTGTCTGAAAGCATCCCCCAAAGTGAGCAGTAGTCTTTAAACAAAAGAAACACGCCACTTACCTTTTGACTTCTTTTTCTACACTCAGAAGAATTGTATTCCCAGAAGGCAAAACGGCTTTGAAGTAGCCTGCGAAGTGGGAGCAACACACCCTTCCCTGACAAATAGGGTTTTCAGATCGCTCTAAGATGGCTGTCTGGTTTACACCAGGGCAGCAGGATGCCCCAGCTTCAGAAACGAGAGCTGAATTTTGTTTTCCTTTTTGTCCCATTATAGCAAATTTCCTTCCTTTGTGTTGCATGGAATCTGTTTGGAAGCAGACTAATGACTCTGGGGAGAGAGGATGAATCACAACAGAATGCAGGTCAAATCTACAGACAGTGTATGTGCTCCCTATGGCAAAGGCCACATAATCTTAGATACCTGCAGATAATATTAAAAGAATGACTGTGGTATAAGAAGAAAAAAAAAAAACAGTGTTGTTTAGAATGAGTGTGCTCTCTTACTCTAAATGTTCCTGGTTATGGCCCAAATATTTTTACCCTAACTCTCTCAGTGTGTGTGTGTGTGTGTGTGTGTGTGTGTGTGTGTGTGTGTGTACAGATGTGTGTGTACCTGTGAATGGAGACCAGATGTTAGCCTGGTGTATTGCTCTTCAGGAGCTGTTCACCTTTTGCTTTGGTGACAGTTTATGCTGGCCTAGAACTCTTTGAGTTGCTGTAGGATGTTTGAACACTGTGTGAAAATGTACTGCTGTGGTTGATGTAATAAAAGCTCAACAGCCAATAGTTAGGAAGAGGTTAGGCAGGAGTTCCCAGGAGAGAGAGGACTCTGGGAAGAAGAAGGTAGGAGATGTCAGGAGCCATGGAGAAGAAGAAACAGGGCATGCAAGATGAAAGAGAGGCAATGCCACTCGATAGAATGTAGATTAATAGAAATGAGTTAATTTAAGTTATAAGGGTTAGGTGAGAAAAGCCTAACTTAGAGGTAAAACTTTCATAGTTGATAAGAAATCTCCATGTCATTATCTGTGAGCTGGGTGGGAGGACAGAGAAATACTCTGAATTACACTGAATGATGTAGATGTCTCATTAAAAGCTGAGTACTCCGCAATTTATATTCTCTACCCACTAGCCAGTTTTTTTTTTTTTGTCTCTGTATTAACTTGCCATCTACTGCAATAAGAACCCCTTTTTCTGACACCGAGTGAGAGATACACTCATCTATGGTTATAAAAATAAATCATTAGAAGTCAATTTAATATTATGTCCATTTAGGATAACAGCAGTAGTAGGTTCTGCCCTAGGGCCTATGACTTACCTAACCACAGGCTTTTGTCCCAGTTAACAGTGCCAGGTATATCCATCTTTGGAAACAATTTTTAAAATTAACCACGAAGTGATTGGTTATTTCCATGCTATTTGTGTCACTGCTACATAAGGTATCTTAAGGCCAATTGTTACTGTAGCTTGCAGGATTCACTGCTGGCCAAGACTCATGATTACTTTGCTTCCCTGGTAGTGAGTGCAACCTTCCTGCATTATGAAAGCTGCCCAATAAATATGAAACTTACCGATCTTGAAACTCAATTTCCTCACGTTTTATGACTCAAATTTAGCAATAGGATGTACTATGAAGTTCTGGGGAATGACCTGAGAGAAATGTTAATAGCTTCTAATGTTTGAGGACCTATGGGAGAACTCCAAAAATTCTACCTACTCATGGAACTGGGCTTTATATTTGATAGCCTATAATATCCTGGAGAAGTATTGTCCCTCATCAAAAGGCAACTCATCCAAACTCTTTTTAACGTAAGCATATGTCTATGTTTTAGGAAACTTCTACAGTGGTAAGTTTCTATTTAGTTTTCTCAAATGTCCTTAGTTTAATTATCCCTTTTAATATTCCCTCTCCTTTACCCCTTTCTTCAGTTTAACCCTTCTTTTATGACATAATTTCCTCTTTCCCCTTCCAAACCATTATATTCTCTTCTCTTAAAAACCCATACCACCATGATTCTTTAATGGTTTTCTGAAAGTGCTGGCTAGTTTAAGTCAACTTGCATCAATCTAGAGTCATTGAGGAAAAGGGGACTCTCAGTTGAGGAAATGCCTCTATAAGAGTCATCTATAGGCAAATCTCTATTGCATTTTTGATTGATTATTGATGTTGGTGGGACCTACTTACTCTAGGTAGTGCCATCACTGGGGTAGTGATCCTAGGTGTTACAAGAAGGAAGGCCAGGATGGTGGTCCTGTATGTTAAGAGAAGGTAGATTGAGGAAGCCAGGAGAGCAAACCAATAACCCTTCATGGGCTTCTGCATCAGTTATGGACTTGAGTTCCTGCCTTGAGTTCCATGGATGATAGATTACAAGCTATAAAATGAAACAAAACCTATCTTCTCCGAATTGCTTTTGGTCATAATGTTTTTATCTCAGTAGTAGAAACTGTAACTAAGACATTGACTTCTATAGATATGCTAGTTTAAACATATATATCTGAAGATTCACAGCTAGAATCTGCAAATGAGAAAAAACACATAGCATTTTTTTTCTGGGTCAAGGTTATCTCAGAGTGGTTGTTTCCAGACCCACTGATTTACTTGCAAATTTTAAAATTTCATTTTCTTCACAGCTAAGTAATATTCCACTATGTAAATACATCACATTTCAAGCATTTGTTTATCAGTTTATGGACATATAGGTTGTAGCTATTGTGAAGGGTGATGTTTCTCTGATTTTTTTCTCAGCCCATAGATCATCTGTGTATAAGAGGGCTACTGATTTTTTTTAGTTACTCTTGTATCCTGCTACATTACTGAAAGTGTTTATGAATTGTAGAATTTTCTTGGTAGAATTTTTTGGGTTGCTTATATAAACTATCATATCATCAGCAAATAGTGAGAATTTGACTTCTTTTCATAAATCTGTTTTTAAACTAGAAAATATTTTAAACTGGTCTTAAATATTTTACATTGGTGTAGAGTTTTGTATGATACAAAATTGTTATTTTGTCATACTATATAACTGTTTCTACTCTTGTTTAAAATATTTTTAGATATTGAGGCAAATTTAAGTTTATTTTAACATACTTTATATATGTTTTCACTCTTCTTTAAGGTATTGTACCTATGAAGCTCATTTTAAAATGTATTATAAAGTTCTAATGCTTAAAGTCTACAAACTGTTAAAGGTGAATAAGAAATGTATGTTAATGAGGCTCCTAAGAGAGACATACATGAATCTAATCTACATGGTACGTAGAAAAGGACAAGATCTGAGTAAACTGAGAGCATGGGGACCATGGTAGAGGTTTGAAGAGGAGGGAAGAGGAAGGAAGGGACACAGAGAAAAATGTATAGCTCAATAAATTCAACAACAACAAAAAAACTATGGTAATCAAATTTGTGGCTATGTTAGGTATGTTTTCAAGGTCAAGCAGACATCTATTTTAGATAGACAGATGGTCTTCAAACACTTCAGAGCCCTACAGAATATGGCATTTAAGATGTTTTAATAACATAAAGCTTTCCATCACAATAAGATTTGTCTGTTTCTGGCAGCTCCAGTTTATATAAAAAAAGGATGATGGGCTCAAAGAATCTTTATATGGAGTTTGTTTCTTTTATTATTGCCAAGTTAGCCACTAGACAAGAAACTACCCTTGCTGACAGTATGCTGTCCAAACTGGGCAAGCAGGACACACAAAAAATAATTGTGGAATGATGTGGGATACCTTTTTGTATATGCGTTCCTTTTATTAGTTAATAAATAATGAAGCAGCTTTGGCCTGTGATAGGGCAAACTAGAGAGTTTGGAGAGAACTGTGCCCAAATCCCCAAATATTGTTTATAAGTGTTCACTTAAATTTAAAAGAGGATATGCTATAGAGAAAAATACTTTGCATTTGTAAGGATTTTGGTATATTGATACAAATTTTAGGTCAACTTTGTTATGTGTATATTTCTGCTCTTGATAAAGGTATTGTGTTTGTGCGATTCATTTAAAAATGTAATTTATAATTAAAAATACAAGTTAAAAGAGAGTCATCTGTAATAAACAAGCTTATAGTCATGCTATTTTGGTTTTCTAGATATATAGGGATATATTTCAGTTATATAGATAATCATCAAACCTTTCAAAGACTTAGAATATAGCACTTAAAATGTTTTAAGAATTTAGGACTTTTCATGACAATGAGACACATTCGCTCCTGACAGCATCAATTTACTTCAAGAGGATGATGGGCTTCAAAGAGACTTCTTATAGAATTGATTCATCATTTGCACAAGAACCTGCTTTTGCCTGGATTGCTTGATGTTATACACTATGAACTGGACATGCAGGACTCACAGAAAAATGACTGCTGAACTTGCTTAAAGGTAAGACAGTCCTTTCGAGTTCCTGCTTCATGAAAGAGTCTGCCAGACAGTCTGCAGGACATAGAAAATAGTGACTGGCAAACTGCCAATATAGATGAAACTGTCTTTGAAATTTCCTGCTTCATTGAAAAGTCTGCTGGGTAACTATGGGACTGTAGACTGAATATGGATACTCCAATGATACAGAAGAACTTTGGGTGACTGTCCAGGCAGCAAGATATCTCTGTCAATTCTAGAGTTTTGAAAGCTGCTTACAATGAACTTCCCATTTACTTAGGTAATATTATATCATTCTGTAGTCTTTGATGGAGTTGAAGAATAAATAGTTATAGTTATTGTTTTCCTTAGTTATGATAAAAGATAAGGTGGATATAAATATTGTAACTGTAATTCTTGCTTGATACCTGTTTTGTTCTATGTAATTTTACTATGTTTAAGTTAAAACCTTCCTTTTTATTTAGACAGATAAGGGGAGATGATGTGAGAATTCCTTCTGTGTATGTGTTGCTTTTATTGGCTAACTAATTAAGAAGCTGCTTTTACATGTGTTTGAACAGAATAGAGCTAGGCAGGAAAACTAAACTAAATGTTGGGAGAAAGTAGGCAGAATCAGTGATATGCCATGTAGCTTCTGAAGGAGACAGATGCCAGAACCTTGTCAATAGACCGTGACCTTGTGGTGCTGCACAAATTAATAGAGATGGTTTGATTTAAGATGTAAGAGCTAGAAAATATGCATAAGCTAAAAGGCCAAATAGTATCGCAATTAATATAATTTTTGTGTGATTATTTCAGGTCTTGGCAGCCGGGAAACAAACCAGCAGCCTCTGTCTGCAACTGAACTTTGCCAAGACAATGTAGGACAATCATTCAAAATTCTTGCTTCACAGAAAAGTCTATCAGATATTCTAGGCCTGCAGGTTCAAGACATTTGCCCCAACATTGCAGAGGATACTTGGGTGACTGTTCAGGAAGCCCACTGTCTCTGTCATTTTTATAGTTTTGGATTTTTTTTGTTCTGCACTTACTTGTTTACTCAAGTAATATTATATCCCTATTGCATTACTGATGGGTTTGAAGACTAGGTAATTACACTTACAGCTTTACTTGTTACCAAATTCAGAAAAGAAACTCACAAAACAGGTAAAAACTATATGAGGTTGAGAAATATAAAAGTTTAAATTTTTTATCTAAGAGAATATTTTGAGGTCTAAAATGATAATTTTGAGTTGGTAATACCAATTAAGATAGAAAGTAACTTGAGTATCAAACTTTGGACTCACCAAAATAGCATAGATCTATGTTCTCTGAATTTGCCAAATGCAAATGGACTGAACACTGTGAATATAATTCTTACCTGATAATTATTATTATTGTATATGGTTTTACTGTGTCAGAGTTAAAATCTTCCCTTTTTATTTAGACAAAAGAGAAAAATGTTGTGAGATATTTTGATCTTACTCTGATACTCCTGAGTCGGATATTAAAGCTTACTTTGAGTCATAGGGTAGAGCTAGCTTCTAGCTGACCAAAATTAGCCATAGAGGTTTTAGAGGACTGACGACATATATAGAGAGACACTGGAAGGAGTAGGGTGGGCTTAGAAAGTTTCTCAGGCCTTTAGAAAATTGTGCTGGATCTGTAGGTTGCTTTTGGTGAGATGACCATTTTCACAATACTTATCCTAACAATTATTAAGCACTTGAAACTCTTTGACTCTTTGTATCTTCTTCAGCCCATTTTTGTAGTGTTATAACATTTTCATACTTTCAGTTCCTTGTTAGATTTNCCCCTGATTTTTTTCTCTGTATGTTTGTTGTTAATATATAGGAAGGCCACTGCTTTTCGTGTGTTGCTTTGTATCCTGCTCTTTGCTTCAAGTGTTTGTCAGCCATGAACGTTTTCTGGTGGAGTTGTTATGCAAAGAGCCCTATCATCAACAAATAAGGCTCCTTTGACTTCTTTTCCTATTTTTATCTCCATTATGTCCATCACTTACCTTTTTGTGTTAGCTAAGTTTCAAGAACTATATTGATATAAGGGAGGGAATGGAAATATTCTTGCTTTGTTCAGAATTTTAGTGAATATACTTCATGGATTTTTTTCTCTTTAGTAAGATGTTGGCTGTGGGCTTGTTTTATATTAAATTGATCTATATCTTATATATCCTTAGATTCTCCAGGAATTTTATCATGAAGGAATGCTAGATTTTTTTCAAAGACTTTTTTTTTTTTGGTGTATCTCATGAAATGACCATGTGGTTTCTGTTCATGACTATTTATGTGGTTAAGAGTTATCATCAAAAGATGTGTGTTAATTCCTCTGAGGTGCAGAAATGGCTCAACTTATATAAATCAATAAATATAATCCACCACATAAATACTGATGGGCAGAAACCACATGATCATTTTACAAAGATTCTACCAGAAAACTTTTACAGCTGACAAACACTTGTAGCAGATATCAGGATACAAAATAACACACAAAATCAGTATATTTGAACCAAACTCCCCAATAGAAAGACACAGATTAAAAGACTGGATTAGAAAGCAAGACCCATCTTCTATTTCCTCCACGAAAATAAGCTCACTCTGAACAACAGGCATCAATTTAGCATAAAAGGAAGGAAAATGTTTTCCAAGCAATTAGATTTAAGAAATTGCTAAGGGGTATTTGCCATTAAATCATAATCCTTGAATCACAACAAGTCATAACCTACCCATCTTTGTTCAGACTGGAAAAATTTCTATATCTGTACCTTCTCAGAGCTGATAACACTCTGTAATTAATGTATGCCTTCCACAGTCTCAGTGTAACTCCCCAGTCAGATTTCCTCCTTTTTATTTTATATTTTCTTTCTTCTATGTCTGTTTGTCTCTTAACTTAGCAAACAGCTAATAACCCTTATGAGCAAGGGTCACTTTACCAGGTTCCCTGCCATACACATGAATGAATAGGGCATTTGAAGTTGGTCACTGACTTTGGTGGAAGCAGGGCCTAAGGATGTTAGGAAGCTCTGTTGAACTGGGTGAGGGCAGCTAATCTGTCATTCTGGGGAATGAGAAAGAATTAGACAGAAATTCATTCTGTATATCACAGCAGGCCATTTCCCTACCTCCCTCTCATCATTACTGTTCATGATAAAGGCTATTTCTTTCCTAGTCATTTTAAGGTTGGAACCTTTTCAATCCTTACTGTGTTTTTTGATGTTGTAAGCCAAACCAAGCCAACAGTGCACTGTGTGCCAGCTAGTTCAGGGAAGAAAATCTCATGCTATGGGAATTAATTAAAAGGGTCTGCCTTTCTTCTTTTTCTTGAGACTCAGTCACATGACACCCTCTTTTCTCACCCCAGAAGCGAATGACCTCAGGTTCTGTCTAGTCAGACACCCGATGCCTGGCATCATCTGGCTTGGATAGGAAAAGATGTTGGACATATTTAGTGTGTGCGCATGTGTGTGTGTATGTGTGTATACACATGCACATGTGTGTCTCATTTTCCTACTTGAAGCAAGTTTTTTGTACTTTTTAATTACTCTGCTGTGCATTAGTGTTTTCATAAGAAAGTTCTACTGAAGAAGAAGAACCCTTCTGGGTAACTTCAGTCATAAATTCTTCCACCAGTACATCAGACTTGTACAGGAAAACTCTAAAACTCTTTGTGTGTATCAAACTTCCTTCAACCTGGACTGTTTTAGAAAAATGACTGTTCTTATCTCTTATTTACCCACGAGACTTTTCAGTGGGTGACTTGCTGTCTTTCACATGGCTGTTATCACCTCAACTATTTTATACACCAGAAAAAAAAGCCCACTAAACCAAAACAAACAACAGCAACAACAACAGCAACAAAACAGGAGACATTCACAAGTCAGGTTTCAAGAGGAAGCAGAGGACTTGGGAACACCAACTTCCCGTTTTCATTATGGCTAAATGTAGAAAAATAGTTGAGTAGTCAGGATTCACCGAATAAAACATACCTCGAGGACTGATGAATATCAAGAGGGATTTCTTTATAACGCTTTATAAAGATTCATTTTTGGAGCCCAGTGTCACCATGGAAAGTTTATAAGTCTATTAGAGCAACATCTTTTTTCCTTAAGGATCAAAATAAAATATGACGACAAGTAGGCTAGACCCATTTGTGACACAAGTATAGTTTTTAGAAAGTTTGTAACAGTTCCGTAAGTTTAGGAATAGGTAGATGTGAGGGCATCTTTAATGCTATTAAAATGAATAAGTGGCTATCATATGATGGTCCCAACTATTGTACATGGTCAACTAGATGAGATGCTTTTATATACGTTTAGCTGGGGAAACTTTATTTGTTCATTCATTCACTACAGGAGGTGTCAGGATATGCTGCCCAGAATTCCCTCCAGGTCTGAGACCTGCTACTTGTCCTGAATCTCAGCTGCTGGCGCGTCACAGTCAAGACTTCTTTAGGAGGCCTGGTCCAGGCTGAAGGGAACTGCTGTCCCTAATGACCAGTTCTCCAGGGAAACTTCCAATGACTTGTCTTTGTGGAGCTGCATCCTGGCACATCTTGGAAGAGCCCTGCTAGCTCTACCGTGTCTGACTGGTGTCATCTGATTCCTCTGCCAGTTCCGCTTCTCATGTTTCCCTAAGATCACCACCTGTAAACTGCCTGAACACATGTTTTCGCCTCACAGTCTGATTCTCAGAAACAATCAGTTATGGTACTAATCAAATAATACTGAGTACCTGTTTTACATCAACTACGGTGCCCATCCTGGGAATATATAGGAAAGTAGGAAGAAAAGGCTCTTGGTAGAGTGTGTAAGGATTACATTCTAGTGGGGTTCCACAAGTGGCTCAACAATACATGGATATCACCAAAGAAGGCTTCAGATAGTGAGAAAACTATCAAGGGTGCAAGGCAAGACAATCTACTGAGACTTTGTTTGAGGGTCTGTGTACATGTTTGTAGTATGTGTACATTTGTACTCAGGGAAACGCAACTTTAAAAGGTGTTAAGAGTTTGTTGAGAGGCTTGCAGATCAATAAGGGGCTGAGATACTGACATGTTAAGAAAAGGTGCTCAAAGTAAGTACGAGAGGAACTTTGGCAACCATTATGATAATTAATGAGGATGAACGATGGTGCGTGCCTGGAGGGGAGAATGCCGCATAAAATCGCTTTTAATCTGGAGCTGGGGTAGCACACATATCAACTCAAAGCAAAGAAAACTTTCTCATTCTTGTCCTGTTGTGTGTCTGTGGCTTTAAAGTCAGTGGATGCTCCAAATAAAAATTCTAGTGTTATTCTCCATGAAGTTCAAATCACTGTGCTGTTTAGGATGGAGGTCAGTTCTTCATCCAGAAGCATAACCTTAGAAGGTTAGGTAGACTTTAGAAAAAATTCTTTGTTTTATTAATATTTAATTTTCATTATTTCTAGAAAACAGTTCAAAAGCAGGCCCTTTTTGTGGTGAATAAAAAAAATGAGGTCACCTCAGAAAGAGATCACGCAGCCTTCTTTTTTAATATTGTAGAATAAATTGTTCACTCTGTAATGTAAAACTCACTCTTTTCTCTCTCCATCAAAGTATTTTTGAAAGGACATCATTATTCTTTATTAGCCGAATGCAAACAGCATAGTACTTGACAATCCTAGCCTTTCAGACTTCTTTTCACCTTCTTATTTCAACACTCTTTGCAACTGCTTCACAATGCGTTTGCCTCTGATTTAAAAGCTTCTTTCTCATGAGGTAGATTAGAAAGAGCTCAACTCTGTAGGTACGGAGGGCTCAGGAGTTTCTAGAGCACGGAAAGTGACGGGCGGAGAAGAATGATACAGGGAGGACGCCAAAGAGTTCCTGCAGTGTGAGGAAATCCTTGGGGGTGGGGTGAGGGGCGCAAAGATAGTTTTCCTACTCCCACCAGTATTCCAGGAGGACGAAGGATGGAACTTGTCTTCATCTGCATTTTAGCTCAAGAAGACAAGGAAACAATCACTCCAAGAGTCCTGATAGTCCAGTAAACTGCTCTGGTAGAGAGTGTCCACTGTTTCGGGCATTCAAATGGCAAAGGGATTATAGAAAAATGACCAGGTGTTTAAGGCCATTGACAACACAAAGGACGTTGTTCTGTATTAAATGTTGGTCTGAATGAGGTGAACTAGAGGTGTTCAGTCAAGCCAAGCTTTTGTGATCTTTTGGCAAGAGCTGAAACTGCAAGTGGAGTGGGAAAATGGCCTTTGTAGTAAGACACTGAGGTCCGGAGGAGGGGATGTTTCTTCTCCGGCATGGCTGAGAGCTTCTTGTTTCTGCAGAAATGTATCAGTTTTCCATCAGCTTAGACAGCCCTTGATAATGAGAATAGTTAAAATAACGGTAGCATCACTCTGTATGCCCCAGGCATTGTGTTCAGTACTTTATACATATACATGACCCAATTTCTTCCTACAGCCAGTTGATACATTATTAATATCATATTTGATTTATATATACTATAAGAAAACTGTGGCGGAACATTTAAGTGGCTTGCTGAAGGTCCCAAGTGATAGACAGCTTGTTGGTCCTGGATGAGTCTGGAGTCTAGGCTCTCAAGCAGTTGTTTTATCCTTCCTCTTTGCCACCTTGAGTCTCAACCTTCTCACCTGTAACTCTAGGCTAGGAGAGTAGCCATGTGTCCCCTTCCCTCCGCTTGACACAGCTCTCAGGAATGATGTGGGTCAAGAAAGATGTCCAGGTTCCCCTCTCCACTTTCCAGAGCAATGGAGGAAGAATCTAAAAAAAGGATTCTGGAAGGGAGATGCCAGTAGGACACTGGTGCTGACTTAGCAATGCTGCAGTGTTACATTTTCCTTGTTGGGGCTGCTTTGCATTGGTGTGATCTGGTAGAACATCCCTCACATGTGATTAACCTCTAGGGCTCTGGAAAGGCTGAATCAAGATGAAAGGCCAGGATGCAAGCTGTCTTCATGGCTCATTTACAGTAAGGCCTCAAGAAACATGCATGGTTTAAATGGTTTTCAGGGTGGCTGGGTCTAAACGGACAAAAAAAAAATCCAACTCATCCTTCCCGTATACTATTGACGCCCAAGGTATGCCAGCAAATCTAGTCATGAGCCTGCATGGTTGGTCCATGAAACAGCAAGTGGACTGTACAAAGTCATAACAAACCACAAACGACAGAAATAACCAAGCACAAGTGTTCCTCCAATTGTTTAGATACTAACTGCTCTCTTTGGAATCTTCTGAAAAGTACACCATATCCGATTTACTAAAGTTTCAGGGAAGCACTCTCTCTCTCTCTCTCTCTCTCTCTCTCTCTCTCTCTCTCTCTTTATATATATATATATATATATATATATACACACACAAAATATGATGTAGATGCATATATATAATATATGTATATATATCTTTTAGATATTACACTGCTGTCCAGGATGATCTTTAATTCAGTATGTAACCTAGGCTAGCCTTGAACTTGTGGCAATCATTCTGCCTCAGTTTCTCAACTTTTAACATTGCAAACATGAACCTCCAACCTTGGTTCTGTGAATTTCTTTCACAAACTTTCTAACTTTAACTGACGTTTGATCTTCTTTGATTCACTTATTGCAAATTCAGTTCTATGAGAAAGGAATTTTTGCATTAAGTTGAGTCTAATGCAAACATAAATTTCCACCTATGAACAATAACAAATGTGGAAAGAGACTGGACAAGATGTGGGGGATAAAGACCAGGAGAGAAAAGAAACGGTAATATTTATTAATCCTTTGTTGTGGTGGCATTGATACTGGCACCTTTTCAAAGGAATCCCTTTTCTAGCTGGTTGGCCAAATTTCAGGAATCACAAACCATGGGAATGAGCAAGGGATTTGGATGAGAATCAGAGAATAGATTCTTCTTTCTCTCGGCAGCAAGGCAGGTGGTGGCCATTGTTGCTGTGGGAGTTCTCTTGCAGTTTTTCCTCCTGCTCATTGTCTTCTTCTCTTTCCTTTCTTCTTCTCTTTCTCCTTCCCCTTCTTCTCCTCTTCTTCCCATTCTGTTTAAGCTTTGGTAGAATATATAAAATTCTGACCTCTAGTATTTAAAAAAATCAAGGTTTCATTGTAGCTGTCAGTTGGGTTTATCTTGTTAGGGTTCCATTAAGTATTTACTGAAGGAGATATTAGAATTCTTAATTTTGCCAGGTCATGCCTGCCAGAAAACCAGTTGCTCTGTTTGTAGACCTTCTTTTTCACCTTTCTCCCCCAATACCCAATCCCACAGTCTCACCCAACACTGCACAGCAGAACATCTGTGGCAGCCTTCCCTGTCCCTCCCTTGCTCCCATCTCCTGTGGATCCCATATAGCTTTCTCTCCTAACCTTCCTCCCATGACTCATTGCTTTATTCCAGTTCCCAGACCCCACAGTCACCCTCTGCTACCACAAGGACTACCCCTGTTGGGACCACAAGTAGCCTGAAGGTGAACTCACACCTTTCCATTCCTTCCTGAGATCCTAGCCCCTGTTGTGTCAAACCCAGCCCTGTAGCAATAAAATTGCTATAGTGTCCCTTCTGTCTCTGAGCCCATCCCTAATGGATCACAAGGATTTTCTCCCCAACCTGCCTTCCCCCAAGTTATCCCATTACCCCAGGCTTCAACACCAGCAGGCATTTACTGGGAACACATCAGCTGAGCTAGAAAGGGCAACACCCTCCCAAACCTCAATAGGCATCACCTGCCAACCAATGTTCCCAATAAACACACCAGCTGAGTGATCCAGAAAAAGAAGCAATATACAGCCATCATCCAAAGAGCAAATAGTAAGGAAAAAAAAAAACATACTCAACAAAGAAAAACTCCAGAAACCAGCACCAAGACCTATAATCACCTCTAACCAAGATGCCTAGAAACCTAGGCATAATAAAAATAATAATGAAAGCATAATTAACAACTAGGAGACACTATATCTACACTATAGCCCAGCTATCTTACTACAACAGGCCTTGAATATTCCAACACAGCTGAAGCACAGAAAAAAGCCTTAAAACCCCATGTATGGAGATGATAGAGGTCCTTAAATAGGAAATTAGTAAATCCCTTAAAAATACAGGAAAACATGAACAAAATGGAAAGCCAAGAAAAAACAAGCAAACAACTTAAGAAAGAAATAAAATTGAGACATGGCTCAGAGGTTAAGAGCAGTGACTGCTTTTCCAAAGGTCCAGGGTTTAATTCCCAGCAACCACATGGTGACTCGCAACCATCTGTAATGAGATCTGGTTCCCTCTTCTAGCCTGCAGAGACACATGCATGCAGAACACTGTATACATAATAAATAAATAAACCTTTAAAAAGAGCTCATCAAGATTTTAAAACGGAAATAGAAGCAATAAAGAAAGCACAAACAGAGAAAATTCTGGAAATGAAAAAATAGAAATTTTGACAGGAATTACAAAGGTAAGCTTTAGCAGCAGAATGTAAGTGATGGAAGAGAGACGCTCAGGCGTTGAACATATGATAAAAGAAATGGAAAGAAAATGTTAAATCTAAAAAAAAGCATTCTAATACAAAGCATCTAGGAAATCTGTAACACTCTGAAAAGATCAAATCTAGGGATGATTGAGATAGAGGAAGGAGAATCCCAACTCAAAGGCCCAGAAAATATTTTCAATAAAATTATAAAAGAAAAGTTTTCTGACCCAAAAAAGATATGCCTATAAAATTACAAGAAACATATAGAATACCAAATAGATTGGACCAAAAAAGAATGTTTCCTCAGTGTGTAACTAAAATATTAAATATACAGAACAAATAAAGAATATTAATAGCTGCAAGTTCAAAAGAACAAATAACGTATAAAGGCAGACTGATCAGAATTACAGTTGACTTTCTTTTCTTCCTTCCTTCTTTCCTTCCATTCTCCTCCTCCTCTCCTCCTCCTCCTCCTCCTCCTCCTCCTCCTTCTTCTTCTTCTCTCTCTCTCTCTCTCTCTCTCTCTCTCTCTCTCTCTCTCTCTCTCCGGAGACAGTGTTTGTATGCGTAGCCCTGGCTATCTTGAAAACTACTTTGTAGACCAGATTTGCTCTGAATCACAGTGATCTGTCTGCCTCTGCCTCCTGAGTGATTAAAGATATGCACCAGCATGCCCCCACAAAAGAACATTTATTGTTGTTGATTTTTACACCTGATTTTACAATGGAGACTCTAAAAGCCAGAAAGGCCAGGATAGATGTGCTGCAGACTCCAAGAGACTACAGATGCCAGCCCAGACCACAACACCCAGCAGAACTGGTATTGAAACATAAGTGGAGAAAATAAGATTTTCCATGATAAAATCAAATTGTAATGATATCTATGTATAAATCCAGCCCTATAGAAGGTGTTAAAATGGAAATGCTGTCCTAAGGAGGTTAACCACACTTATGAAAACACAAGAAATGATCTCACACAAGTAAAATCAAAAAAGGGAAGTACACACACATGTGCATGCATACACACATACTACCACCACCATGGCCAACAAAATAAAAAGTATCAACAATCATTGGTCATTATTATCTCGAAGAATCAGTGGTATCGATTCCCTAGTTAAAAAACACAGGCTAGAATGGAGGTGTATCTCTGAGAAATCTGTTCTTTTCTAATGAGAGACAGAAGTAGAGGTGGGGGCAACTGGGAGGAGTAGAGGAAGACGAAATTGCATTCAGATTATATTGTATGATAAAATAATCTATGTTTGATTAATGGGGTGAACAAATAAAGAAAACTTAATAGGAGGAAAAAAAGAAATGGAGGAAAAGACAAAAACAAAATGGAAGATATCAACAAATCCCTTAAACAAAACCAAGAAAAAGCAATCAAACATAAGAAAGAAACAATTCAAGACTTGAAAACGGAAATAGAGACCATAAAGAAAACACAGGCCTATAGGGAATTATAGAAACAGAAATCATGAGAAAATGATCAGGAAGCACAAATGCAAGCGTACATAGCAGAATGCAAGAGATGGAAAGGAGAATCTCAAGTGCTGAAGATGCAACAGAGGACATAGACTTGTCAGTCAAAGAGAACATTAAATCTAAGAGAAGCTTAACACAAAATATCCAGGAAATATGGGACACCATGAAAAGGCCTGAATCATCAATGGGTCAAAGAAGAATAAAGGGAGAAATGAAAAACTTCCTAAAATTCAATGAAAATGACCACACAACATACCCAAATTTATGGGACACAATGAAAGCAGTGTTAAGAGCAAAGTTCATAGAACTAAATGCCTACACAAGGAAGCTGGAAAAATTTCCACACCAGTGAATTAACAGAACATTTGAAAACTTTAGAAAAAAATGAAGCAAACTCACCCAAGAGAACTAGATGGCAGGAAATAATCAAATTGAGAGTTGAAATCAACAAAATAGAAACAAAGAAAACAATGAATCAATGAGACAAAGAGTTGGTTCTTCAAAAAAATCAACAAAATAGACAAATCTTTATCCAAACTAACCAAAAGGCAGTGAGAGAATATTCAAATTTAAAAAATCAGAAATGAAAAGGGGGACATAACAACAGACACAGAAGAAATCCAGAGAATCATCAGGTCATATTTCTAAAACCTCTAATCCACAAAATTTGAAAACTTAAAGGAAATGGACATTTTCCTTATCCATTATTTGGTCGGGGGACATTTAGGATGTTTAGGAAACAACCTTCCTCAAGACCCAGCAATACCACTTTTGGGTATATATCCAAAGGATGCTCAATCATACCACAAGAATATGTGCTCAATTATTTTCATAGCAGCATTGTTTATCATAGCCAGTACCTGGAAACATCCTAAATGTTCCCCGACCAAAGAATGGATAAGGAAAATGTACATTTATACAATAGAGTGCTACACAGTAAAAAAAAAAAAAAAGGAATGATATTTTGAAATTTGCAGGCAAATGGATGGAGCTAGAAAACATCAAATTGAGTGAGGTAACACAGACCCAGAAAAGCAACTATCATATGTACTCACTCATAAGTGGTTTTTAAACATAAAGCAAAGAAAACCAGCCTACAAATAACAATCCCAGAGAATCTAGACTACAATGAGGACCCCAAGAGAGACAAACATGGATCTAATTTACACGGGAAGTAGAAAAAGACAAGATCTCCTGAGTAAATTGGGAGCATGGAACCTTGGGATAAGGTTGAAGGGGAGGGAAGGGGAAGGGAGGAGAGCAGAAAAAAAATGTATAACTCAATAACATCAATAAAATATAATAAGAAAATAAAAATAAAAAACATTCAGCAACTTCAAACC